CCCTAGCGTTCTGTGATTCTGTGATTCTGTGCTTTCTCTGCCTGGTCCTGGCTGGGCCAGCGAGCAGCTCTGCAAGACAAGGGGTGGGTGGATGACTTTTAAAGCCTCCTACGGGTCACCCCAAATTGCTGTTGCTGTGCCCTCCAACCCCTTTTCAGTTAATGAGTGAAGCCTCTGTGCCACCCCTCCAATGGGTGATGGAGGAAGTGGTCCCTCAGCTGTGGGGTGTTGTGAGGGGTCACAGCATCCTTTGGGGGATCTCACCCCAATGGGCTGTGGGTGATGCTGCCCTGTCCCAGCGGTTTCCTCCTAAAACCACCCTCTGCCCTGAGAGCTGATGGGAAACCTCTCTCCTTCTCATCTCTTCCAGATGGATCTGTCCCACCGGTTCTCCAAGAGAGAGGTATGAGTGTGGCCCCACCACAGTCTCCCTTGATGGCACTGGTGGTTCTCAGGGACACAGCTCAGCCCCTGAAGATGCTCCCTGGGGACAGCAGGTGGTGGCCAGGCAGGGCTGGATGCTGGGAGGGGGGTCAGCGGGGACCAGTGGGGAGCTTGGGTGGGGTCACACCCTGCTAATCCTGGGGAAGGCACAGAGCAAGTCCCTGCTGGCCTGGCGCCATGTGAGGTGTCAGCACTGTCCCCGTAGCTGGCTCTGCTCTATGAGGAGGTCCTCTACACCATCCGGCACCGCCTGGGCAAGCCCGAGCACTACCACATCGCAGACACCCAGGAGCTCTATGCCTACGTGCAAAAGGTGGGTCCCCACCTCCCTGACCAGATCCCCAAATCCTGTCCCCTGACATGTCCACCCTCCTGGCTAAAGTGAACGGGGAGCACATAGCGGGAGCTTTTAATGGGAAAATTAAAAGATGTAGAAGCAGGATCCAACTGGAGGGCTGGGGCAGCTCACGGCTGGGAAATGTTAGCTTTTGGGAAAAATATTTATCTTAGGCTTGAGATGGTAGGAAGAGGAAGGTTCTCCTCCCTCGAGAGCTTTCAGCTGGTCTCCAGCTCTTCTGCAGGATGCTTTGCTCCTCTCCTCTCCCCTCGAGTCCCTGGGGAGTGGAGGGAAGGTCCTGGCTGCTCTCTAGTCACCATTAACAGGGCAGCATCCATCACCGTCCCCATCTCTACAACAGGCTTTTGGCATGGATGCAGAGGAGCACAACATCATCATGCAGCAGGTCGAGGAACTGGAGGTATGCAGTGGGACAGTGTCTCCCCAGTATGGTCAGGGGGGGGTCCCAGCATCATGGCAATGCTGGGGGTAGGGGGCTGTGATGCCTCCTGGTCCCCAAGCTGGGGCTTTGGGGTACAGAGTGCCCCTGGCTGTACCGAGGGAGTCAAGTCCCATCCTTGCTCGCACTCCCCCAACATTAATCATTATTTTTTTTCATTCTTCCAGAGCCCAATTTTTTGCCTGAAAGCAACTGTGAAGGAAGCCAAGGGGATTTTGGGTAAAGACGTCAGCGGTAAGTGGAGACGGGTGTGTGTCCCATGGGAAAAGAGACAGACACTGCTCCCTATGGAGACTTGGACGCCTCTGCCCTGGCAGGGTTCAGCGACCCGTACTGCCTGCTGGGCATCGAGGCCAGGAGCCAGGAACCGGCCCACCCTGACCACAAGAAGCGGATGAAGGCGGTGGTCAAAGACCTCATCCCCGATGACCAGATCCATCGCACACAAGTCATAAGCCAGACCCTTAACCCTGTGTGGGATGAGACATTTATCCTGTAATTCCCTACCTCTTGGCTTTGCTCACTGGGGGGCTGGAGAGGGTGTCCAGGGCTCTCGGAGGGGGTTCAACACTCCTGCCAACCAGTAGCTGAGGCTTGCCAAGCTTCTGGTCTTACCCATGCAGCAGGCCCAGGGAGGTGAAAAACCACAAGCGTGGCAAAAATCCTTCCCTCGGCGCTCTCACACCACTTCCCCGGGCTGTGTGGCGTTGTTTGGGGTCTCCCCCAGGTTTCCCCAGCTGTCCTGCATGCTGGGTCCTGGAATGCTGTCGAATAACAGCATCCTGTTGGTGCCTTGCAGGGAGTTTGAAGACACGGAGACAGCCAGCTTCCACCTGGACATGTGGTAAGCAGCAGCATCCCTGAGGGGAGTCCGGCCTCCTGGGATGGTCACTGGGCCCTGCAACCTTTAAAAAGCCCCAAAACCCACCTGGGGACCCCTTTCACCACCACTGTCTGCTGTGCACAGTGCAGGATGTGAGCAGGGGGAGGCAAGGCTGGCTTTGGCCAGCAAGAGCTGATCCTGAGCCCTGATTTTACTTATGGAAAGAAGCCACTTGTTTGCAGATTTTGGCTGGACAGCTGGGTTTTAGGCGTGTCCTCAGTCTCAACACATTCCCCACCCCAGCACCTTCCCTTCTCCACTGTCATTGCGGTTCCCTGGACTGTTTTGAAGTCGTCTGAATTTCCCCCTTTCCTTCATGGTGGGTTTTGCTGCCCCCCTCACAGGGACTCAGACGTGGTGGAGTCGGTGCGGCACAAGTTGGGGGAGCTGACGGACCTCCACGGCCTCAAACGGTTGGTGCTGGCATGGCCTTCATGGCTGCTGAGGAAAGGGTTTGGAAAACGCTGGTTTACCTGCTAGATGTTAAAAATTGCCTTTGGAAGGTGGATGAGAGGGTGACACAGCTACATTGCCCTTCTTCGCCCCGACTGTGGTTGGGTCACAGTTGCAGGAAACCTTCTCACTCCCTGTTTGTGCCTTTCAGGATCTTTAAAGATGCTCGCAAAGACAAAGGGCAGGATGATTTTCTGGGGAATGTGGTCCTTCGCCTGAAGGTGAGCACCATGGTGCATCCTCTCCTCCAAGTGACTCCCCAGGTGCTGGTTAAACCTCACGGGATCCAGGCAGGATCCCAGCCCTGTGGTGGCACCAAACTCACACAGGATCCCAGCTCAGAGCCACAAATTGATGCCAAGTTCCTCAGTTTGGTGGCAGGTGTCCCAGCCACTCCAACACACTGAAGCTGTGGTTGTACATGTTTTATTTTTAATCCAATGCTGGAGTTATCTAATACAGCACCTTCCTGCTCCATTCACGCAGTGGGACCTGGTCCCTGAGCAGGGTCCTTCCCTCAGGAAGCCTACCCAAAGCTTCAGCCCTTGTCTCTGTGCCTGCAGGACCTGCACTGCTGGGACGACCGGTGGTACCAGCTGGAGCCACGGACGGAGACGTACCCCAACCGCGGACAGTGTCACCTGCAGTTCCTGCAGACTCACAAGAAGGTAGGAGGGAATGGGGACGAGGGGGTCACTTTCTATTGCCAGGATGTCCCTGCATGTTCACGGTTACTATTCCTATGCCTTGGCTCTTTCCAGAGGGCCACCACAAGCAGCCGGACACAGCCCAGCTACACTGTCCATCGCCACCTCCTGCAGCAGCTGGTGTCCTACGAGATCCTCCAGCACCAGGTACCAATGGGGAGGAGTAGCTCTCCAGCAACTAGGCTGGGATGAGGGCTTCCTTCAGAGCCCACCACACCTGCAGCAAGACAGGGAGGAGGGTCACGGGGATGCCTGCCCCTGCTTGACATCCTTACAGGGCACCCATTCCTGCAAACACAACCTGCCCCAGTGCCTGAGCCCCACCCTCACTAAGCCCCACTTGCTCCAGGACACCGCACCCTCCTTTTGCCCCCTTGCAGGCTGGCAGCATTGCCTGGGACGGGGAGCTGAGCAGGCATGCAAGCACGGTGCTGTTCCTGCATGCCACACAGAAGGACCTCTCCGACTTCCACCAGGTCATGGCGTGAGTATCCCACACCTGGGGAGCCACCACGCAGCATCGGGGGTGGGACAAGGGCTGGTATTGCCCCTCTGCCCCACGCAGCACCAAGAGACCCAGGTTCCTTCCCCTGCTATCCCAGCCGTAGCCATGGGTGGGGGAGCCCCACACCGGCCCCTCGGTGCCCCTCCAGCCCCCCAGGGGCTCAGCCCAGCCTCTCTCTCTTCCCCAGGCAGTGGCTGGCGTACAGCAAGCTCTACCAGAGCCTGGAGTTCAACAGCAATTGTCTGCTCCACCAGATCACCAGCATCGAGTACCAGTGGGTGCAGGAGCGCCTGAGGCCAGAGCAGGTCAGGAGGCTGTGGCACCATGCGGGGGGCAGAGACTGGGGAAACGTGCCCTGTGCACCCAACCTTGAGCCTCTTCTGCTGCCTCCTGGAGCTGTTTCCCTCCTTGTGTTCTGAGAAGGACAGGAGTGTGGGGTTCAGAGGTGTCAGGGTGGCTGGAGGGCATTTCTGAGGAGAATGAACCATGGGTTCCAGGACATCCCATGGGTCAGGGGACCCTTTGCTCAGGAGGTTTTGTTCCTCTTCTCTGTGGAGAAGTCCTTACCCTTCGCACCAACATTCCCCTCCTCCATTGCTGCTATTGAGTTAATCCCAACCCCCTGCAAAACTTAAATATGACCCAGTTCCTGCTCTTCCCTGCCTGTTTTCCCAGGGCATCTCAGCACCCTGCTGAGACTCTGAGTTTTTCATGCATAGCAATGAGGTTTAATCACAAAGCTCAGTTCAGCCCCTCCAGGGAGAAGTCACTCGAGACATCAGGGGGTTTTCCCATCCCTGGAGCAGGCGAGAAAGGAGCAGGAGCCACAGGCTCCCTCCTCCACGGTGCCATGGTCCTGCTGGCATCCCTGGCTGCTGCTGAGAATGACAGCCTGTGTTTCCTTCCTTCACCCCAGAAAGCAGAGCTGGCCGAGTCCTTCCAGTCCTTGCTGACTTACGGGGTCTCCCTCATCCGGAGGTACCGCATCATTTTCCCCCTCACTGTCCCGAGGTCCCCAGAGAGGCTCCAGTCCCTGCTCCGGTGAGTCGAGCACCAGTGCCAGCTGTGCAAGAGGTCTATGGCTTGGTCACCGTGGTGGATAAGCCTGAAAGCTTGAGAAAAACCCTGTGTGAGCCCTTTCTGCCCCCTTCCAGGCTGCTGTGACACTTGCCCTGTCCTGTCCCTTGTCCTGAGCTCCCTGTGGGGGATGTTGTTGGGAGGGGAAGGTCTGGTTGTGTCTGGTCTCTGTGGGGAGAGGTGGCTGTTTCTGATGGGCTGGAGCTGAGTTTCACTGGAGGGTCTTGTTTGGCAGGGTCCTGGTCCAGATGTGCAAAATGAAAGCTTTCCACGAGCTGTGCACGCTCAGCCCCGACCTCCCCCAGATGGTCTCCACAGCACTGAAGGTAGTGGGACTGGGGGCCTCACCCTCCCCACCGCTAGGGAGGTGGGACCCTGTGGCTCTCTCTTCCCATCCATACCCTGCTCAATGCCCACACCTCAGCCTCTCCTGCAAAGCCACACAGACCACTCTGGGTGGGGAAAATACCTCAACTGGTGATCTAGGCCTGTGGTTCCCACCACATGGACCTGGATCCTGCCCATACCCAGGGGACAGGGAGAGTGAAGGGGATGACAGCACTGGTTTTGTCCCTCCTGCTTCCCCACTGTCACACCGGGTCTCCTCTTTTGCAGTCAGGCACGACGGAGTGGTTTCACATGAAGAAGCAGCACCTCAAGCCCATGGTGAAGGTCAGTTCCCATCTCTGCTACTCTGACATTATAAGAGGGAATTTGCTGGGCTTGTGGTGGGAGGCCTGAGGGGCTGGGAAGGCAAGACAAGATGAAGATTCTTCAGTCTTCTGATACCGTGAAGGCGTTTGAGCATATCACAAAAATAAATCACATGAGGAAGGAGCCCAGGTCATCTCAAAATCACTGAGCATCAAAAACAAGCTGTTCCTTTGCAGAGCATGGAGGAGAATGGCAAAGCCTTGTCCAGACTCCTCTTGGAGGTGATAGGAGATCTCCAGCAGTGCCAGAAAATCTGGAATAAATTCTTCATCAAGTAGGTTTTGGAGCTCAGTTCCCCCCCCATCCATCTTCCCTGGGGTCAAGAGCAACAGGGCACTTCGATGCCTCATTCATTGGCTCTTGTGCTCCACAGATAGCATCTGTGGTCCCATTTCTGCCTCTCATAAGAGCTGAACTGTGCTCACCCTTATGGCAAGGGCATGGCCTGAGAGGGTTTGCTGGGCTGGGCCTGGCAGGCTCCTGACTCCCTGTCTCTCTCTTGCAGCACCTTGAAGTTGAATCTCTTCTCCATCGCCTACCTGGAGCTGGATAGCCTGGTGAGCAAGCCTGGGCTGCTCTGTGCTCGTGGAGCTAAGGTCTACAGCCAGGCTGGGGTTTTTGGGCACCCTTCAATTAGCAACTGGTTGTTGTAAGCCTGGAAAGGGAGCAAGCCAGGGTGACCCCATCTTTCCCTGCGTGCCCATAAAGTGACTATCATCTGCTTACTTGACACAATGAATTTTTTGAAATAACACAAAAAAGGAAGAGGAGTCTCCTGATCTGACCCTCACCCCGTGGCTCCAGAGAGCCCCCAGCAGACCAGACCTTTCCACACAGACCCTCACTGACACCTTTTTCCCTTTCCTTGCTCTCTGCCAGGTTGTGGAGCATGTCCAGGAGCAGTTGCGCGAGGTGGACAGCAGCATGTCCAAGCCCATGGCCGAGAGCCTTTTCCTGCTCTACATGAACCTGCAGGAGCTCTATCGGATGAAGGACTTCCTCCCAAAGAGGTACCCAACCCAGAGAGGGGAGATGCCGAAGTGAGGGAGCAAGCAGTTACTTGAGAGGAACTCCAAATCCTTCCCATTCACCTGCATTGCTAATTACACACAAGGCAGACGAGGCTGTTGTTGTCTGGTGTCAATGTGAGCATCACCAGAAGGTTTTCAGGCTTGTCTGTGGGTGGAGTTGATAGAGACCTCATCTTCCAGACAAAGAGAGGTTTCTCCTTAGCATGGTGCTATGTGCTGCCTCCACCTTGGGGCAGTTTCTTACATGTAGGAGCAGGGAGCGGTGATGGCCTTGTGCCGTTGCTGTGCAGTTGTTGAAGCTGGTGCCTTCCTCCACAGGGATGGACCTCTGGCTCTGAGCAATTTTCACCAGTGGTTCAAGGAAGCTGTGCCCCAGTGGCTGCAGAAGGCCTACACCATCACGCTGGAGAGGGTGCAGAGAGCTGTCCAGATGGACCAGGTAACCAGGGAGGAGAACATCTCCCTCCATCCTTTGGGGCCACTTAGCTCCCTCCACGCCTTGCTGCTGTGCCTGGCATTGAGCCCACCACGTAGGTGCCTCTTGCAGCCCAGGAGAGGGCTAGTTCCTCTCCCGAATTCATAAGAAAGGACATGGTCTTCTGAACCAGTTGATCCCATCCTGGCCCCACACTGAATCCCCATGCCTATTCCCTCTCTGCTCTCTGGCAGCCCGAGCAAGCTGATGAGCCTGTTTGGGCCGTGCTGTCAGCATTCCCTTTGCTTCTGACCTTCAGGAAGAGGAGAGGGAAGACAGCCATGGGGCCATGGGCTCCTCACCCCTTCTTCAGTGTGGTCCAGCAACACTGGGTTAGAGCATGGTGGGGCACAGCCCCGTGCAGGGAGCTCGGGCCACTCCAGCTATCCTTATCTTCACTCTCCAAAGTGACTGGGTGATGACATGGGGATATATGGAGCTGCTGATGGTACAGAAAGCCCTAAAGTAAAGGAGCAGCTCTCCTGCCTGAGATGGCTCCTCTCCATACAAGCTAAGCTGCATTTGCTTTCTCTGGCCCCTCAGCTGATGCCCTTCGGGGAGCACAACAAGCACAGCACATCCACCATCGACCTGTCCACCTGCTACGCCCAGATCGTGAAGACCTGGCAGCAGCTCAACTGGCCGGACCCTGAGGAAGCGTTCATGATCATGGTGAAACTCGTGGAGGTTTGTACCCTGCTGGCAGATGCCATGCTTCTGGGCATCAGCACTCGAAGTTTCCTCTCCTGATCTTGAAGATACATCTCCATGAATGGGGCCAGTGTCTCACGCCGATGCAGCAGGGTCCCTTGGCACCATGGTGGCCCCATGCTGCCTTGCTCAGTCCCTCTGGCTTATTCTCTATCCTGCAGGACATGTGCAAAATCGCGCTCATGTACTGCCGGCTCATCAAGGAGAGGGCCGAGGCTCTGTCGCCGAGTGAGCAGAATGAGGGTGAAGCAGCCAACAGGGTTGGTATTGGACCAGGGGCCACTGCTTAGGGAGAGGCAGGATTTGGCCATGGTTTTGGGGTAGAGAGGGAGATGAGCTGCTGAGCACCCAGACATCCTGGGTCTGGCTCTCATGGGACCCATTTGACCGCTGATAGCTGTAATCCTGGAAAATCAGGAGTGAAATGGTTTGAGCAAAGGGAGTGGGATGGGAATGGGGTTGGGCACGGGGTTGGGGATGGGGATGGGCATGGGCATGGGCATGGGGATGGAGCTGGTGTGGGATGCACCGGGCAGCTGTGGGACACCTTGAAGCAGATTTCACCTCTCCAAGCTCTGCATCGTGGTGAACAACATCAAACAGCTGCGGCTGCTGGTCCTGAAGCTGCCATCGCAGCTGGACTGGGCCCAGCTGGAGCAGCGCACAGAAGCCGTCATCAACCGGCAGCAGATTCAGCACACGCTGCACAACCAGCTCGACAGCACCGTCTCCTGCCTGGACCGCGAGGTCCGGGACGTGGTGCAAGCCCTGGCCACCAAGGTGATCACCTGCTACCAAACCCTTTGACCCTCATGTGGCCCAAAGTGGGGAGGTTTCACCTAAGGGGGTCTGGAGCCCACAGCACTCCTGGGATGGAGACAAAGTGGACCTGGGCATGACAAAGCTGATGCAGAGGGCAAATGCCAAGTGCCTCTTTGCATTTTTCCCCTGGCAGCTGGAAAAGACCATCGCCAGGCACATCCAGGAGCTCTCATCTTCCAATGACACCTGGGAACCTGAGGACGTAAATACCTGGTTCTGCTCCTCCTGGAGCATCTTTTTTGGGCAGCTGTGAATAATGCTTGCCTGCTTGCTGGAGGCCCCCATTACCCTTTTCCACCAGCAACGGGGCCAAGACCTCCATATGCTTTGTTTGACACCCATGTTGGCAGCAGGACCAGAACAGGCACAGCCTGCACCCATCCTCACTGCAGGAGGGAGCTGCTCATGCCCACTCAGTCCTGCTGCCTCCAGTCAGCACTGCTCTGCCCTTCTCCCTGCTGTGCCCTGCTGGATACAGCCCCCTCATGCCCTCCCCAATGCCCCTCTCCTCTCGCTGCAGTCCATCATCCCGCTCATGAAGTTCTTGGAGTCAGAGCTGCAGTATCTCAATGAGCATCTGGTCCAGGAGAACTTCAAAAGGTGACCAGGGCCCTGGGGATGCGCCGCGGTGGAGGCCAGCATTGTCCCCATCCATCAGCA